CTGGCCTCTGTGGACACCCACACTCATACACACACATTCACACACACACACACACACACACACACACACACACACACACACACACATGCTTGCACCTACCCACATGTAGTTAAATATAAAATAATTCTTAGGAAAATAAGATTACTTACACAAAAGTTTGTTTTCCCTCTCAGATTCATTTGTTTGTGGTTATTTTTAGCATTGTGTTAATACAAAAGAGAGCAATTTAGAAATACCATTTTTATGTCTTTCAAAGGAAAGTACCTGAAGATATCTTTAAGACTGCCGTTAGGCACATGGTCTAAGGTGAGCCAGTTAAGGGCTCTGAGACATGGTCTTGCCCACTTTGCTCTCAGCCAAGGTCATAGGATTTTTGAAACAGTTCAGATGAACTGCAACTGACAAGTTTGGGGCTACTCCTCAGGTACCTTGCCTTTTGCTGGCACATCCCCCTGGCATACCCAGGATGCAGGTGTTCCTTCTTCAGCTAACTCTGGTCCCATGCATTCCAGATGTAACCAGGGCTTTATTTATGCCTGAACATCAGTGCCTCAGAAAACACACTGTAATTCCACACCACATTTTGTGTTTACAGTTTTTCTGGAGGAGGGACTCCAAAACTTTTGCTAAATCCTCAGATGCCCATGATCTAAAAAATTCCAGAACTGTCTGGTCTGTCACCCCAGCCTGCAGGGACCTCTGTCTTTCTGATTCTCAGTTAGTTACAGTGCAGCCCCTGCAGGGGGGTGGGGGGTGGGGATGCAAGCAGCCAAAGAAATTAGCTTCTCCCTTTATCTCCAGGTTTTTTTTTTTTTTAACTTTTGTTTTCATTTTTGAGTCTGATACACATTATTCTAAACTGTTAAAAGGGGTGAGAACCTTCCCACCCAGAAGAAAATGGAATTGGTATGCAAAGTAAGCCTGGTCTTGAATAATTAATTCTGATTTGCATGTTCAGATGAGCCTGAGAGCTGCCCCGGCAGCCAGGAGTGAATTCATATGCAAGGAAGTGGTGGGCAGTGTGCCCAGGCGGGGAGAGGCTGGATTCCTGGGGAATCTCTGCTGGCTTTCTCCTGCCTACTGGAACAGTGAAAGTGGTGGAGATTTGTGACCCAGGGAAGAGAAGTGTCCTGCTCTGATTCACATAACAAGTTAGTGACATGAAATACCACCCCGTGGTCAGTAGGGCTTAGATTTCTGCAGCAATGGGATTTTAATCCCATCATTTACAGATTAAACAGCTTTAATAAGTTACTTAGCTTCTCTAAGCCTTGGTTTACTCATCTGTTAAATGGGAGCAAATGGTAACGTTGACCTTGCAGAAAGATCGGAAGAGACAGAGGTTGTGGAGGACTTTCCAGACTGACAGCCACTGCCCATAGAGCCCACAGCAGCTGTGGCTGCTGGAACAAGAGCTGCATAAGATTGAGCCAACCAGAATTCCAGGGGGAATAGGAGAGGGGTCCACAGAGTTCCACCCACAACTGAGGAGCCGTGGAAGTTGGTGGCTATGGGGAGAAGGTAAGTCAGTTTTGTTCAGGGATAAGACCCTTGGTAACTTGTCCATATTCCAGTGTCTGGTCCCATACTCACGCCTGCACCTGCTAACAGCACTTAATGGTCTCAGTGAGTTGAAAAGAAAAGTACATGAAATTAGGAGGGAAAAATGGTGTGGCAAAAATTGGAGAGGGGTGAGTAGGGTGGGTTTGTTTCAAGACACATTGTTATCATGTATGAAATTCTCAAAAACAAACAAAATAAAACAAACTACACTCCGGAGGAAACAAACAAAATTGAATCAACTTGCCTGCTTCTCTCATGCATAGAAGATATGGCAGTTGCTCATGTGATTCTCACCACCAGAACCATTACCCTCTCCCTTCTCAACTTTAATGATGGGGCTGTAATTAGAACCCAGGTTCTGCTCCTCAGAGGTCGTTCCGGCAATAGTACTACCCCGTGATAGTGTTTCTAGACATCAACAGCAATATTAGGAGTGCTCCAAGACATTCTGAGTTCCACTCCTTTTGATGTGAGTTGCTAAGTATTTTGCAGATCTTTAGGGTCTTGAAGGGGAGGATTCATAGGAACCCTGGGCCTTTATACTGCAGACTGAAAGAGGAACTGTCTGACACCATGGAACACTGGTAGATCTGAGCAACAAAGGGTCAAGCCTGACCAGAAAGCATGCTATCCTGTTCCTCAGCTCCTCTTGAAGAAAGGGCCAGCCAGGTTATCCCAGTCACATCAAACTGCATCACAATCTACAGGGTTGAGACCTGCCTGAGTTCATCGAGGAGGATGGAACCCTCAAACAGACTCCAGGGACACATCCTGATGCACAATGCTTGTCTTCCATGACTCTACCACCTGATTGGACAGAGAATGCCATGGAGGAAGGACTCAGTGATCTGCTATTGGGTTGCAGCTGGAAAGAGAAATATTTTTTAACCCCTGTTTTGTTCTATGGAACAAGAACTCTCTACATAAGTGGTTCTCAACCTTCTGTGACACTTTAATATAGTTCCTCATCTTATGGTGATCCCCAGCCATAAAGTTATTCTCATTACTACTTTGTAACTATAATTTTGCTACTGCTATGAATTGTACTGTAAATATCTGTGTTTTCCAATGGTCTTAGGTGACCCCCGTGAAAAGATCATTTGATCCTCCAAGGGTCGTGACCCACAGGTTGAGAACCACTGCTCTACACTGATGGAATTCATCATTACTGAGATGAATTCCTGGCCATTGAGAGTTTTTCAGGATCAGTCTCTGGGGATGTTGCAAAGAGATTGTAGAGTCTGGTTTCTGGGGTCCCCAAGTCCATGAGAGTCTCTAGAGACAATAGAGCCCTCTTGCCTTCAAGCAAGCCAAGATCCAGTTTTGTGTCCACATCCCTTAAGCCTAAGGAGACATCAGCCATGGAGCTTTATTGCCCTAGTATACCATGATAAGATACAACCCACTCTCTTTGAATCCTGGCTCCAAACTAAAATGATCTTCTATAGATGTGATAGGCTTAGCCTCCTTGGACCTGGAAAATCACTGTCCGAGGTAGCATAATGCAGTGGGAGATTAGAATCACAGTTAGCTGTCCCCAGTCAAATTCCAGGTCTGCTACTCAGTTTTTTGTGACTTTGGGCAACTTGCTCAACTTTCTGAACCTCTGATTTTTGGGGGAGGGGATATCATTTTTTTTTCACTTGACTTATTTAAAAAAAAAAAAAAAGCAGATAAGGCTAGGAAGGCACCTGACACAACCTGGATAAATTCTAATGTGTATTAATATGCACACATTGTAGCTGTATTGAGGTTCAGGATGTTGTGCTTTCTCAATGAGAGAGAACATGTGGGAAAACATAAATGCCACTTTTCTTTCCCAAAGAACTTTTGTTATACTTGAGTAGTCTATGTCCTATGGTGTTTTATTCTCAGGAGCCGACCATCTTTCTTTAAACATTATTTACAGACTCCCCTATTCCCTCTGGTCTCAGAGGAGAGGGCAAGCCAGGACTGGGAGCCTGACAGAGGATTTGTTCGAATGTAAAGGAAGAACATGCTCCAGTGGATGACAACTTCACTACTGACAGGTGTGAGAAGTTCACTACTGATGGGTGTGACAACTTCACTACTGATGGGTGTGACAACTTCACTACTGGTGGGTGTGACAACTTCACTACTGATGGCTGTGACAATTTTAAGCATCTCCTGTAAGGTCTCATCTCTAGAACTCTGGGTCTGCTTGTGCTGGACAAACTGTCAGGAATCAGAAAGAACAAGAACTGACCCTCTCCCGTCCTCTAACAACTCAGCGTCACTCTGCCTCTATTTCTCCTTCTGTAAATGGGAGTAATGTGTTATGCTTTGAAGGCTTTGTCAAGGCTTCTCTGAAACTGCTGACACCCAGTGGATATGAACGAGTCTGAGTTTCTGGATGTCCAAGACTGACCCTTTAAACATTAAAATCTTTTTAAAATGTTGCAGATCTTTATGTTCTTATTTCCAGGGGCAGCTGAGTGTGAGCAGTCTTGTCTTGGTGACTCAGAGTTACCATTATGAACACCAGATGCTGTGCAGTGAGGCCCTAGGGGTGGCGAGAACGATTTACCTTCATGAGGGATGCATGAGGGATGGCTGTGGAACAAGCTTCTTCATGAGGGATGGCTGTGGAGTAAGCTTCTGCCTTCTCCCTTCTGCTGAGGCATCTGTGGGTTCTGTTTTTTCTGCACCAATTGAACTGACTGCCCTCTTCTGGAGGCTAGGGAAATGACATCTAGAGTTGTCCTGTGAGCTTCTACATGTGCACAGATGGGTTGAGGACAGCTCTTTTGGTGGGCTCAGTCGACCTTGCTTATTTCTTTCCTTGTACCTTGATGTGCTCTGGACCCCTAGTATGGAAGTTATGGCCTAGCCCCAGTCTGGAAAACAGACGGTGGATTCTAACAGCTCTTGCACAGCTTGCATGGGAGATGGAGGACCACTGAGCAGCAGCATGGAGTCCTCTTCCTGTTTCCTTCCTGTTCCCTTTTCTCCTTCCTCTTCTTCGCTCTTGTTCCTCCTCCCTCTTTCCGACCCTCCTTTTCTTGTTCTCCCTCCTTTTTCCTCTCCTCTTTCTGTTCCCCTTCCCCTTCTCCTTTTTCTCCTCTTCTTCCTATATCCCCCTCCTTCTCTGCCTCTTCTCCCTGATCCCAATTCCTCTCTCTCTTCCTCCTTTCTCTCCTCCTCCTTTCTCTCCTTCCCCTCTTCCTTTTCCCACCCTATCCTCCTCCCCCTCCTCCCACCCCTCCTCCTTCTCTTCTTCCTCTTTCACTATGCTGGGCTCAGAATTTACTCTCTGGTATCTATGCACGTGGGAACAGTTCTGTGTGGTTTGGCTACAGCTGGACTAGAAGTTACTGGAGCTGGTGACTTGGCTTTATCTAACAACCCCACTTCTAGAAGATTGTTTGGCTACTTGGGGTCTGAAAATTTCTTAGATACTGAGTACATGCTCAAGATCGGAGGATAAACCCATTCTCTACTTGTAAGGACCATGGGCATTGATGGAAATGGGAAAGGCTGATTGTAAACCTGGCTTAGATTCACAACACAGGTGACAGACTTTCAGGTCGAAGTTGTTACCATCAGCCTCCCAGAGCCACAGTTGTTTATTTGCAATCCAGTAGGGATGGTTTTAGTTCTGAGGCGTTGCTGACAAGGGGTGTCACTATCCCTAGACACTGAGACCTAGGTATAAGCAGACGCATATGTTCACACAGATGCTGTGAAAAGCCCACCTGACATGCACTCAGGTCTACATATGCATAAAGGCACCTATTGGCACCGTCACCTGGCTCCTTCCTTCACCTCAATAACTCTGTTTTAGGCCCCAGCTGAAGTGCAACATCCTCCGAAGCATTCTATTTTAATTTCTCTGAATGGAAATTAACCACGGCAGGTTCTCCCCAAGACCACTCTCTTCACTGTGTTAGCACTGTCCTGGTACACTGGGACTGGCAGGGCACTGATGAAGAGAGCTCCTTGAGTAAGAGATGCTTTTGAAGATTTCATAACCTTTGCAACTCCATGTTGTCTAGGACAGAACGGATGCTCTGTACATGGTGCTGAATGGATACAAGGTAAAGTAACAAACCCCAACCGATCCGTAAAGTTACCATCACACACATATTCATAAATATACAGATGTAAGATGTATATGTAAATGAGATGTGTGTACAGACTACGTGCCATCATTCAGGCATACCCATAGATCCATACACAGAAATACTAGCACACATTCCTCCAAACAGTTGAATGTATTCAGACACAGCCCACGGGAGGACCATTATAAACACCCCACAAGCAAAACACACATACACACACACACACACACACACACACACACACTAACATACCTCTAGGAAAGTAATTTCCTGTCTCTTGTGCTTACAACCTGTGTATACAAATTGGATATTTCAGAATGTTTTAATCCTTTGTTGACATTTATTAAGACAAAACAGAGGTGGGCAGACACAGCTTCTTGGCTGGGTGGATGTGCCTCGCCTAGGATGTAATGTCAGAAACTGTTGATGCAGAATTAATACTCACTTTTACGAGTTTATCTTATGTCATAGAGTTGGAAAAAAAGCCTCGGTGTAAATATTCATCATATGGCTTAATTGGTTTGATGTACCGTAGCAACAAGCACGGTGCCAGACGCTTGCTACGGAGGCCTCCGCGTTGTTTCAAAGTCTTTATTATTATGACAGCAAAGTCTTGTTCATTAAAGTTTCACAATCCATTTTCATTAGGTTGAGGCTGAGTCTGTAAACGAACAGTTGCTCTGAAAAATCTAGCCCTCACAGCTCTCGCTGGGGAGGCGGCGCGTCTGTATTAATTACCAGAACGCTGGTGTCGATCGGCGATGTTAATTGCACGGATAGCTCGTTATTTGGGGAATTGCCATGCATTTCATGCAGGGATAATAAAAATGAATTTTTAAACAAAGAGACTTAAAATAATATCAAATCTGCAGAGAATACCAACATCAAAGGCGTATCTCAAAGCTTTGAATTTTATCTTTGTGGTCCAAAATGTTAAAGAGGCGCCTGCAATGCAGTTGGTTCAAGTTCGCAGCGAAGGAAAACAAAACAAGAGTTAATTAACTGTTATTACAAACCTTTTCAACTTTAATTTGACTTTCAAATATTAGCATTTATCTATGAACTGTGCTTCTGGGTTTGACAAATTAGTTTTCACAGAACAAGTTTAATTAGGCGTCATTGTGCTTTTATGTCAGTTTGCAGAGCTGCAGACAATGAATGGATTAACTTATTAAAAGTCATCTGTTTAAAAGACTTTGTCGAATGGCAAGGGGTGGGCACAGTTGCTGAGCTTTGCTAGGAGATGGGGAAATGATACCGCGGCTTGGTGTCAGGAGGCTTGTAGATAAGATGGCAGGAGGGTTGGCCTCTCTAACAGCTGAACCCTGCTTCTTGTGTGCTGCCACTTTTTGCTGCCCTCTGGTGAGGACAGGGTCCAAGGTCATGGCACCAACACAGTGTTTGGGGAAACTGAGTCTTAAAAGGTACCATCTCGGGCTGGAAAGATGGTTCAGTTGGTAAAGTGCTTGCCTTGCAAGCATGAAGAACTGAGTTGGCTCTCCAGAACCTACATCAAGTAAAGCTTGGAGTCAGGGAGCATGCTTGTAATCCCAGCACTGGGAGGTGGAGACAGGTAGACCCCGGGGCTTGCTGGTATTCCAGCCAGTTTAATTGATGAGCTTTGATTCTCAGTGAGAGTCCCTATCTCTAAACAAGGCGGATGGCTCTTGAGGAATGACACCCCTGGTTGACCTCTAGCCCACTCATGAACACACACATTCACACACTGCCATCTTGTAGAGGAGGTAATGAACAGTATTTATGGTAATGTTTAAGATTTTTGGTTGACTGCATATTTTATATGCTAGGATGCTCCAGGTCAGAGGTCAACAAACTTTCTGTTTTCTGTAAAGGACCATTCAGTCTATGTCACAACACTCCATTCTTCCTTTGTCCTATGAAATCAGGCATAGGTAAACAAGTGGGACTTGTGTTCCAATCACATTTTATTTACAAAAACACGAGTCAGGGCCAGGTCTTGGCCAACAAGTTATAGATGGCTGGACCCTGTTGCATTTTTTTATGGCCACATTGGTCAGAATACAGTCAACAAAAGAGAACTATGATTTCTCTGCCATCAAATGGTTTTCTGATCCTACCTAAGGACCTAGGCATACTGAGCACATGGTGATGTACAGATAGCCTTTTACAAAGGTGTCCATGAACTCAAGGTTACATTCTAATGCTGGAATTCTTCCTTCACCGTTTCCTTATTTGTGTGAGAAGGCTCATTCATTTTTGTTTGTTGAATTAGATCTATAGAGGTGTGCCTGTGGGAAAGAGAGTGTGTGTGGTCTTCTACATCTTCAAATATGCTCTTTGATATGAACCGGAGGTTTCTCACATAGACCCTGGAAGGGGTAGGGGGAAGGACTAGAGCTTCTGCCCCCTTCTCATCTCAGTTCCAGAGCTTTGGAGTTGCCTCGTGAGGCCCAGACCTTAATTTGAGTTCCATAGGGTGATTGCAGTAGGTCTGAAGTTCAGTACCTGGGCCTATCATCCCTGGGTAACTTTCATGAGAATGCTCTCCCACCTGTCTGACCCTATGTACCTACTCTTCTCCAAGAACATGCCTGGTACTGATGTCTAGAGGTTTCTATGTCTCTCAGACTCTGGTCTTAGGTATTACAGAGGCTAGGCCCTGAAAGTACCTAAGATTAACTGGCAGTCCCCACAGACCTTGCCAGCCTTGGAATGTTGCTTTGGGGACTTTCCTGTTTTTGTAATTTGATCATAAGGATGATGATAGTTCAGGGGAATGGGGAGCATCACAGAGTACCTTGCATAGGGAATGAATTAAATGATAGATGGACATTAGCTCTGTTCATGATGGAGAGGCCAGACTTCCTTTAGGCTTCCAAATTTAAGATTGCTACATCAATATATTAGTCACCACCACCTAATGATATCAAAATCATTTCGTTTTTTTATGGCAATCTTTTAAAAATGATCTCCTAGTCCCACTTTAGAGGTGTGTAAACTGAGGCCTGGAGAAGTAAACTGACTTAGATCAAAGATCTGGTAAGTTCCAAGTGTGTCCCTGAGAGGATGCACTTTCCTGGTTTCCCACAGAACCTGAAGCCTTGCCAGGAGGATTCTGGCCCAGGGCTCTCTGGGAAAGCTGAGCCCCCAGGGCATCCTCTTCTCCTTGCCTTGTTGGTCCTGAGCAAAAACAATGACAGGCTGATGCTCACATGCAAATGGCATCCCTCTTCTCACTGCTGGAGCCCTGAGCAAGCACTTGTTGTTCATTTCTATAAATGTTAACATATCAGGATGTATTTTGACATGCTACTAAGATAAGTGCTAGAGCTGACAATAATAATGTATAATTTATGTCT